AGCGGCACCAAAGAGCACCCATGAGCACCCCAGAAGGCCCCGAAGGGGCCACAACAGTCCACGGAGGCTCCTAGCGGCTCAAGAGTCCCCCAGTAGCCCCCAGGGGCACCCCAGGAGATCTGGGGGAACCCGCAATTGTTGGACAACTTTTGGAAACGAAGTAATTTTCGGCCTTATCCGCCTTTCGCCTCCCATACCCCTCCGAGGCTTCAACCTAGCCCCCAAGACGGTTCCATTCTGCCCCCCCAACAGGCACCCAACGTTGCCCACAGTCGCCCCCAGAGACTCCAAGAAGGCTCCCATGACGGCCCCAGAGGCTCGCACGAGGCTCGCAGACGTACCCCCGAGCGGCAGCAGAGAGCCCCGGGAGCCCACAGAGAGGCCCCCGAACGCCCCCAGCAAGGGACCACGACAACCTAAATCTTAGCCAGTGTGGGCCACAAACAGCGCATGATTGCAATGTGGAGGCAGAAGCTGCGCGGTGCACGCTGTGTCGTGAAAGCTATGAAGAGATCCAGGGGAGCCCCAAGCCAGCCCCGCTACAGGGTCCCAAAACGGCCCAGGAGGCCCTGACACCAGCCCCAAGGCGGCGCAAACAGACTTCAAGCTTGCCCAAGGGACCCTCGATACGGCTCTAAAGCGCCCCCCAAAACCACCAATAACACATCTCCAGCATGCGTCCAAGAGGCTCAAAGACGGCCCAAAGATGGCTTGAGGTGGCCCAGATGCTCTTCGACAATGCCCCCGAAAAGCCAAAGCCATCGAACTGTAGGCTCTCTTGAATGGCGAACTTCTTGGGCGCGGCTAGGACCGAAGCGCGCGCGTAGCGCGCGTGCGCGTGCATTCATACTCGATCATGTGTAAATATACACACATATATACACATACATGCACATATACATTTATATATATATATATATGTATATATTAATATTAATATTATACACTGGTGAAGAGGACGAGAGAGAGATAACGATGCATATCGATTCGCACACATGTCTTTGTTTTCGCTTGTTCGTTTGCCGAGGCGGTTTCGCGGACGTGGTGCAGCTGCTCTTGCAGGCGGCTCCGGCATCCATCAACACCACGAACTGCGATGGCAATACGCCGCTCCATTGCTGTGCCCTGGCGGGCAGCTACCAGTGTGCTGCATTGCTGCTTAAGGCCGGTGCGGACACGATGCTGAAGAACGTCCAGAGAAAGACTGCTTACGAGATCTCCCAGAGCCGTGGCACGGACCTGAGCTGCACGCACAATGCCGAGCTGGCCGGCCTCCTGAAGGACTGGACAGACAGTGGGGCTTGCAGCCAGTCTTGAGGCGGGTTCTCACAGTGTCTCACAGTCTGCATGCTCCTCCTCGCACTTGTGGGCAAGGGGCCACCCATGCCAGGAGTCCAGGCAGAGGTCCTGGCAGTGAGCGGGATGTTCTGCAAGATTGTTGCAGACCAGCGCGCGCGCTGCCTGCTACAGAATTGTTCCAGCAGAGCGCTGCCAATGTGATCGTGTTGCACCTGCCGCCGTTGCTGCGATGTACACGTTGGACCTCTTGAGCGCAATGTACTCATCTCCTCGCCACATATATATATATATATATACACGCTATCTACGAACTGTGGATATCCGTGCTCGTCTCAGCTGTAACTATCTACTCGACTCCGGCCCATCCCGTCACTGTATTAGGTTCTGGGTCGCAGGCCTCCTGGATGCATCTTAGGGTTTCTCGGGATGCCTCTTGGGTCTTTCTTTGAGGACTCTTGGGGCCTTTTGAGGGCCTCTTGGAGACTTCTTGGGGGTCTCGGGGGGACCTCTCCTGGGGCCTCTCAGGGGTGTCTCGGGGGCCTCTGGGAGGGTCTTGGGGCAATCTTGGGATGGATGGCTCGACACGACCCTTCGATTTCCCCCATCTGAGGCCCCTTCTTGAGGCCGTATTCGGGGCCTCTTGTGCCTTTCTCAAGGGCAATGGGGCCGTCTTGGTGCGATGTTTGCAGGCCTCTCCAGCCGTCTTGGACGCTCTTGGAATCGAATCGCACAGAATGCAACCATCATTGAACACATGTAGGTTGTTCTGTGACTCTGGCCTCTTGCGCCAGGGCCTCCAAGATGACTCAGACACGCTCTTGGTCGACTCAGGCCCTCTTGGACCATCTGGTGAGCCTCTTGGGGCCATCTTGGCAGATTTTACCTGTGTTGATCAGTTGTACATGTGCTGCACAGTAAATAATAAAGGAATGTGTACGACGCTCGTGAGAGGCGCGCCCGTAGGTCGATTGCAGCTATTGCATCAAGATCCCATTCCCGTGTCCATGGGTGGTGCCTTTTATACTCAAGGCGCGGAATGGCATCACATTGCACAATATTTGCCGCATGTGTGGCATATGGGAGCATCGCATAGCATTCAGCGTGTTCACAGGAATGTTTGCTGTACCCGTGTGCACATGTCGTTCAGGTTCTCTTTCTGGGACCCCAGAAACTTCAAGCAGGCAGTGTTGTTTCCAATGTTGTTCGCTTCTGGGGGGAGAGGGGGGGCGTTGAATCAACTTAGTGTTGGAGTCGCTCTCGGAGTCCCCCCTGATTGCCTAACAGAGCTCCAGGGAGACCTCAGCATGATAGCCCTCAACATGGCTAAAACACATATCACACGACACCCGGCATACACGGGATTCAATCCACAACCTGCGGAAGGACCCCAAAAAGTTGTTCAAACCACAAGTGTATATCATTGATTGTATGGTGTTGTTGCTGCTTCGAAGGGAACGTTGAATCAACATCGTCTTGAGGCCGCTTTCGGAGGGTCTCACAGCAGCCAGACGGAGTCCCGAATGGCTCCCCGAAAAACTCCGCATTCCACCAAGCATGTTCCAACATAGTTCAAGACTGCGCATGGACGTGGTTGGTCGGATTCATTCACTGTTCGGGGCCATCTTGCCTGAAGAGACAGTGTTTGGAGACCGAACGTGCTCACACGGTATCCCTCCTATCTCACCCTCTCCTTCTCACTACCTCCCTACATCCTCCCTTCTCCTTTCCTATTCCCTCCTCTCTTTCCCCTCCTTCCTCTCCACTCCCCCTCCTCCTCCCCTTCCCGCTCAAGCTGCACGGGATCGCGCCCAGCAGTTCAACCGAGGTGCCACCGTCATCACTGTGTGCGCTGCGGCACCTTGGGAGGTGCATCCGAGGGTTGCGTGAGCACTAGCCGATCGTGAGCGCCAGCCTGGACCGTGGCGCTCACTCATCTTGGGCGGACGGCCACCGGGGATCAACACACCTGGGGGGTCGAGGACTAATGCAGAGAAGGGCCCCTAGTGGCCGCCGCGGCTCACAAAGGTGCACGAACGGTTCTCGTTTCTTCACCCCGCGTACATTGCCCCCTGTTAGCGAACACTTCATCATCGCCCCCCTCAGGTTCGGACCACGGGACCGCGATGTCTCCAGAGTGGCCACAGGGTTGGCGGGCAGAACAAGCTCGCCAGAGCTTGCTGCGCCGTGTGGACATGGCCTCCGCGGCGCCCGACTGGCTGCGCCGAAGTGCTAGTGGGGTTCGACCCCCCGCTTCTGGCGACGTCCCTCTTCCGTGGCACAGGGCTGTGTCAAGTTCGCTGGGGTCCTCTGCTCTGCGGACAGTGCAGCGGGAACAACCGCATAAGCATAAACTGTCGGAGCTCCACGCGGATTTGATCGATCGGCGCTGGGGTCCCCTAGCGGCGCCTCTGGCGCCGCCCATGGCCCAAGAACTCCGCAGAGAGCAGGAGGTGGTGCTGGGTTGGGACCAGATGGGTTGCAAGCATTGTCAGGCCAAGAAGCTTGGAGACGTCTCTTCTTATCGAGGAACAAGAAACAACATAAACATTAACATTCGCGGATCCGCACGGATTTCCGCGCTTGAGCCCCCAAGCAGCGTCTCTGGCGCCGCCCTTGGCGCGCTCCGCTCGCCAGGGAGGGAGCCCAGCGCCGATAAATGGAAACGCGCGCGGATTTGAGAGAGGTTGTGGTTATGGCGTTTTTGTTGTTCTTTCTTCTACTCCTTCTTCTTTTTCTTCTTCTCCTTTTGCTTCTAGAAGACGGAATACGCGGCACCACTCAGTGCCGACGAGCTGCTGGCGTTTTACCCGCCGCAGTTGGCGCCCTGTGGGGAATCGCTTTGGGGCTGTGTTGGTTCATTGCTTTGGCGCAGTGTCGGTGCCCTCCTCGGGCTGCCGTGGGGCCACCTTGGGGCCTCTTCGGGTGCGCATGCGGACATCTGGGGGACTTCGGAAGGTGTGGAAAGCTATGGGAGACCCCTGGAGGTCTGATCTTGCACCTCAACGAATGCACCTCGTAAACTGCATCTCGTACGTTGTGTTCGCCAGTGGTTGCGACTTGTCACCTGCACCGAGCATTGTGAGGCCCATATGATGCACCCGAGAGTTAGGATGCCTGGGTTTGCACCGCATAGGTTCCACCCCATTCTGGGGACATCGCGGCGTGCGCCCAGACGTTACATCCCACGGGTTGTACCGCTGAAGTTGCGCACCGTGCTAGCACATTTCATTACATGCGCTTCACCTCATATTTTTCACATCACATGCTGCATGCCATGAGTTGCTGTCCATCTGCTGCACGCCACCAGATGCATGTTCAAGCTCCATCCCTCCTCAGTTCCTCCACGCTCCCCCATCCTCTCCCCTCCACCCTTCACCCTTCTCCTGGCGGTCACGCTGCGAGGAATCCCGCCATCCTTCTTGCTCGTTCTCCTCGATTTTCTTCCGCTTATTCCACCGTCGTCCGCCACCTCTCCTGGTCCTCCTGCCACCCATCCTCCTTCTCTTCCTGCCCCGGTTTGCCCCCGTCCTCCTCCCCATTTCTGGACGTCCTGCTCCTTGTAAGAAAATCTGCCCATTGAGTCCTAACCGCCTGCGGTCAGGATTCAGCTAGTTGTAGAACACCCGCCATGAGAAGGATGAGCACGGTGAAGGAAGGATGCCGCAGGAGGAAGACAACGGAGGGCGATAGGGGGAGGAGGAAAGAAGGGCAGCGCGGAGCGCAGAACCGTGGCCCGGCCTGCCCCTGCGCTGCAGCCACTTTGGCTCCGGAGGGCCCTGCGGGGAGCAGGAGCAGGAGGAGGAGAAGGCGCCCCCTGCTCCCGGAGGCCACCCGTGCACATCTCGGCGGCGAGCGAGGGGGGGAAGTGAGAAAAGAAGAGGGCCTTCTCAGAAGGCGGCGGGACTTCTCGGAAGCCCTCGCGCCTTCTGCGAGGATGTGTCTGTCTTCGGGGCAGGCTTTTCGGAGGTGGATCGACCTCCTACCCTGACACGTCGATTCAGGAATTGGCCGTTTTCGGTTCGCGAGAGGGCGTCGCGGCCGTCATTTTTTGCGAGTCTAGGTCCGTCGGTTTCGGTCCCACGCCGCTTTCACTGAGGGGAGGCTTACTGAAGGGAGGTCTGTCCACCGCCGAGCTCCGAAAGCTCCTCAGAAGGCCCATGGGGGGACTCCCGAGCCTTCTGAGACGGCTCGCCCCCTCTCGCTTCTCCGCCCCGAGCTCGCCGCCCGGCCACCACCGTGGCCCGGGGTCGGGGCCGCCCCTCGGCCCCAGAGGCGAGGAGGAGGAGGAGGAGCAGGAGGAGGAGGAGGAGGAGGAGGAGGAGGAGGAGGAGGAGGAGGAGCAGGAGGAGGAGGAGGAGGAGGAGGAGGAGGTGGAGGAGGAGGGAGGAGGGAGGAGGGAGGAGGGAGGAGGGAGGAGGGGAGGAGGGAGGAGGGAGGAGGGAGGAGGGAGGGAGAGGAGGGGAGGAGGAGGAGGAGGAGGGAGGAGGAGGGAGGAGGAGGAGGAGGAGGGAGGAGGAGGAGGAGGAGGAGGAGGAGGAGGAGGAGGAGGAGGAGGAGGAGGAGGGAGGAGGAGGGAGGAGGAGGAGGAGGAGGAGGAGGGAGAGGAGGAGGAGGGGAGGAGGAGGAGGAGGCTGTGGGGGGCCACGTCGGCGGGGCCCTCGGCGGCGGCACGGCGAGGGCCTCCCCTTCGCCGTGCTGGGGCGCGGGCCGACCGCCTCCCGCGGGCCCCATCGAGGGCCGGCCGCCTCCCGCGGCACGGCGGGCTTTCGGTGCGCCGTGCCGCCGCGCGGCGGCCCCGCTGCGCGCGGGCGCGAGGTCGAGCGCCTCCAGCGGCCCCAGGGTCGGCCGACGTGGGGCCACCTGCAGTGGGGGCTCGGGCCGGACGAAAGGGGGGGATTGGGAAAGGGGGGGTTACGAAATTTGCTGCATGCAGCTGGTTTCGGCCTCACCGAGGGGCCCATTCCTCGATATATGGCCGCCTCCGGCGCCGGGAGGCGCCGGGAAAATCAGCTACGTGAGCTGATTCTCAAACTCGCCCTTTGCTATCCCCCCCTTTCGCCCGACCCGACTCCAGCGGCCCCAGGGTCGGCCGACGTGGGGCCACCTGCAGTGGGGGCCCATGCCAAGAGACACCCTGCGGGCCTCCAGGGTGCCCTGGGTCTTGCTCGGGTTTCGCCGCTTCTGCCTTGGGCTTTTCGCCGGTGTTGCCGTGGAAGGGCGTGGCGTCCCCGCACCAGAGATCACAATGGACATCCTGGGGTCGCAGGGTCGGGTTTTTTGTGGAAGGTTTCTTGTGGACTAGCCTCGAGTGCTCAGTCAACCCGCATGGTACGGACGGGCAACCTTCCCAAGGGTACCCTTGCATCCTTGCCCCGTCGGCCCATCCTTAGCGACTTTCGCTGGCCGACCTCGTTCCAAGGACGTTAACGTGGCCCTCCAACGCCCTTTTGGATCCTTACCGCGCATCTTTATGATACGGGTTGACTGCATCTGGCGATCGGACAGCAGCCGAGAATCCGAGGCTGGGCGATCCGCGCGGTGTCGGAAGCCCAGGACGGGCCTGCCGTACACGCCCAGGACGGCCCGCCCAGGACGGCCCTGGCTGGGCACGGTGGCCTGGTGCACGGGTGCCCTCTGCGCAGCCCCCTGCTTCAGGAGCAGCTCATGGGAGCCTCGTGTGTCCTTCCGGTTCTGTCTTCAGAATGCACTCGCGTGCGCCAGCGTCTGGACATCGATGCGAGAGCGCCGACTCCGCGTCGACGAGCGTCGGTTCGCAAGAGCCAGCAGGATGGTACGGGAGGCTCCCCCGACCTTAGGCGCACGCCCCGCCGATGCGGGAGGAGCGGGCGGTGTTCCGCTCCCTATTGCGGGCCGCCCGGGGCTACGACAGGCACCCGCAGCACCTCGCCACGCTGCTGGGCTGGCCGTCGTGCGTGTTCGACCGCGGCGCGAACAGGCTTCCCCCGCGCGGGTCTCTTCTGGGGATACAAAAAGTGGCATAACCATAAAAACTCTGAGGTCCGCTCGGATTTCTCGGATCGGCGCTGGGGCCCCCCGGCGGCGCCTCCGGCGCTGCCCCTGGCGCGCTCCGCGCGCCAGGGAGGGGGGTCCAGCGCCGATCCGAGAAATCCGCGCGGACCTCCAAGTTTTTGTGGCTATGCCACTTTTTGTTCCCCTGTCTTCGGAGGAGGCCGGAGTGACATTGGGAGCCAGCTGGGGGGCCGAGGTGGTCCAGCACCGGGTTCCGACCAGCAGGAAGGGGCGGGGCGAGGTGCGAGCGGCTGGGTTCGAGCAGGTTTCTGCTGCCTTCCTCGGTGGTCTCTGGGCGACGTCTGCGGGTTCGGGGGCCGTCGAACACGGATCCGGGGCGAAAAGCCACCAGGAGGATCCCAGGAGGGGCCCAGGGACCGATTCTGAGCGGATTCGGCTTCATCATCATCATCCCCCCCCCCCGGCACCTGACAAATTTTGTTCGGGGTCCATTTGGCCAGACCCCCCGGCCGCCTCCGATCAGAGAGGGTTTTTTTAGCTGTTCGGACGTTCCGAGCTTTTTTTTTCCGGGAAGCTGGAGACGCATGATGCGCGGAAGGCCTGCAGGAGGCGTTGATGCACACATACACAAAGACACACAAACACACACACACACACAACGACGCACACACGCAAACACACACACACACATACACATTCATTCACACACAAACGTTTCCACACACACACAGACAAACAGACACACGCACAACAGACAACACGCAACACACAACACACAGATAGACAGACAGACAGGCAGGCAGGCAGGCAGGCAGGCAGACAGACAGACAGACAGACAGACAGACAGACAGACACACACACACACATCACACACACAACACACAACACACAACACACCACACAACACAAGATACAACACACCACACACACCACACAAAACACCACACAACACAACACACAACACACAACACCCAACACAACACACAACACAACACACACACACACCACACACCAACACACAACAACACACATAAACCGTACACAACACACAACACACAACACACAACACATATAACACACATAACACACAACATACAACACAAAAACACACAACTCACAACACAACACACACACACACATTCACGCGCACACGCATACACACACACACACACGTGGTCAGGGTGGTTTTCTCCAGCTTTCGGCCCTTACGTGGCCAGGTCACGCCCGGGATCGCGCGGTCGGGGATCCAGCGCGTGGATCGACTGCGCGTGAGAATGACCGAGCTGGCGCAGCGCCGGTTCCGGCGAGCAGAAAGGCAGAAAGGGGGGGGGGAGCAAGCGGTTCCCTCGTCGCCACGGGCCGGACGCGTTTCGAAAAGCTGGTCACTTTCGTCTCGCGAGGGGTCTGGGGGCCGATTTGGGGCAAGTTTGCTTTCACCAGCGCAACCGCGCGCGACTGCGCGCGGCTGTCATTTCTAGTAGGGGCGTCTTTGTGGTTCGGACATCGCTGCCCTTCGCAGCGGATCTAATCTCGCCCATGGGCCAACTTTGGGAGGTACGGCGCGCGTCCAGGAACGGGCCGCCGCCACGCTAAAGCAAATGCCCAAACCCTTGTTGCAGACCGTTCTTCAACCCGCCCACGGCAATTTCCAAATTAAACAGAGGAGGGCCTGGGGACATGCAAGAGGAAAAGGGAGGGCCCAGGGAAGGGGGCTGGAGGGAATTTCCCATTCGGTTGGACGGATCCCGCTTGGCCAAACGCAGTGCTGTCTTGGGCGTGGCTGCTCCGCCAGACGGCTCGGTCGCGCGGCTGGCGCCCCATGCGACCCCGAGAGTTCTTGTCAGCTTTCTTGGAGATCCGTTTCCGAAAAGTTTGAGTTACGTATCAGCTTGACTTTTTCGACTTTCCACGGCATGAGGTTTTCAAGTTGTCGCGCGACATATAAACGTTTCTTGGCGGGGAGATCTTCATGTCAGGCTCTGTTGCGTTGGGTTTTCCTTACTTCGCGCAGCATGAACTTTGAGCTGCCCAGCTTTGGGGGAGAATGCTGTCACTCAAAATTGATGAGTCCATGTTGCCCCTGGCCAGTGCCGGCCCACTTCGGCCGGTCGAAGGAAGACGCGTCTTGGACGGCATGATTGCCCCACCGACCCGTAGAACAGCGCCTTGCTGAGGAGGGGCTCTTGGCAAGCGAGAAGAATTTGTACTTCGCATGCGATTCGAGAAACCGTTCGGGCAGGTACCCGCTCAAGGGTTGTGAGCACAGGGGCGCCAAAAGCGTCATGCCCAGATTCTGTTTCCTCCCCACCATCACTATTCCCAACCATCCTGTGGTGTTGGGTCCTCGTTTTGAAGAGACGGCGCCCCGCGTTCCTCACCTCCTCCTCCTCCTCCCCCCTTCCCTCCTCCCATCATCATCATCATCATCATCATCATCATCATCATCATCATCATCATCATCATCATCATCATCATCATCATCATCACCGTTACCATCATCATTATGATCATCATCATCACCACCGATTCCGGCACACCCCTCACACGTTTCGTGGCCCCATAAGGAGCTCCACCGAAGGCCCCAGTGGCAGGGTCCGCATGCCTCCCCGCCACCCATTTCGGCACACCCCTCACACGCTTCGTGGCCCCATAGGGGGTTTCACCGAAGGCCCCAGTGGCAGGGTCCGCATGCCTCCCCACCACCAATTTCGGCACGAAGGCGCCAGTGGCAGGGTCCGCATGCCTCCCCACCACCCATTTCGGCACACCCCTCACACGCTTCGTGGCCCCATAAGGAGCTCCACCGAAGGCCCCAGTGGCCCGCATGCCTCCCCACCACCCTTTCGGCACACCCTTCACACGGTGGCCCCATAGTGGCTGCGTTCGCATGCCTCGGCCACCCCTCACCATTGGCTCGTTCGCATGCCTCCCCACCACCCATTTCGGCACACCCCTCACACGTTTCGTGGCCCCATAGGGAGCTCCACCGAAGGCCCCAGTGGCAGGGTCCGCATGCCTCCCCACCACCCATTTCGGCACACCCCTCACACGTTTCGTGGCCCCATAGGGAGCTCCACCGAAGGCCCCAGTGGCAGGGTCCGCATGCCTCCCCACCACCCATTTCGGCACACCCCTCACACGTTTCGTGGCCCCATAGGGAGCTCCACCGAAGGCCCCAGTGGCAGGGTCCGCATGCCTCCCCACCACCCATTTCGGCACACCCCTCACACGTTTCGTGGCCCCATAGGGAGCTCCACCGAAGGCCCCAGTGGCAGGGTCCGCATGCCTCCCCACCACCCATTTCGGCACACCCCTCACACGTTTCGTGGCCCCATAGGGAGCTCCACCGAAGGCCCCAGTGGCAGGGTCCGCATGCCTCCCCACCACCCATTTCGGCACACCCCTCACACGTTTCGTGGCCCCATAGGGAGCTCCACCGAAGGCCCCAGTGGCCTGTTTCGTATGCCTCCCCAACACCCATTTCGGCACATCTCTCACACGTTTCGTGGCCCTATGGGGATTTCCACTGAAGGCCCCGGTGACTGGGTTCGCATGCGCCCCCACACCCATTTCGGCACACCCCTCACACGTTTCGTGGCACCATAGGGAGCTCCACCGAAGGCCCCAGTGGCTGCGTTCGCATGCCGCCCCCACACCAATTTCGGCACACCCCTCACACGTTTCGTGGCCCCACAGGGAGCTCCACCGAAGGCCCCAGTGGCTGCGTTCGCATGCCGCCCCCACACCAACTTCGGTGCACCCCTCACACGTTTCGTGGCCCCATAAGGAGCTCCACCGCAGGCCCCAGTGGCAACGTTCGCATGCCGCCCCCACACCCATTTCGGCACACCCCTCAAACGGTTCGTGGCTCCATAGGGAGATCCACCGAAGACGGTACTCACACCAGCATTACTCACAACTGCATATGGTTGGGTCCTTCGCCAGGCTAATTTTCTTCCTCCTCCTCCTTTCCATCATTCCCAATCGTTGCGCCCCACGTTTCGGATCCGCCTTGATTTCCTCCCTCCTCGTCCACCCCTCGGCTGCCGCGTGGCTCTCGCCCGCTCCGGGCCTTGTCGGCTGCATCTGCTTCCCTGGGGCTCGGCGCGCGCACCCTCCGATGTGTTATTGCGTCGCGTTCGAGCAACCCCCGCGCGCGGGCTTTCCGGCAGCAGCGGTGCGCTCGCGCCAAATGGCACGCGATTGGTAGTTATCATTATGTTGACGTGTTTTTTGTTATTATTCTATGGTGTGTTGATTTTTCTACTGTGCGTCTTTCGACTTGTATGTAATGTTTATGTGTGTTTTTCTTTTTTTTTCTACTCCTGACGGACGTTCTCACTGCATCTCCAGCTCAGGCCCCCGACCGCCTCCAAGGCCCTTCCACGCAACTGCGCGCAATTGTTTCGGACCTGCTGCTGAAGGGTGTCGGGAAGATAGCAAACGTGCCGAACTACAGCTGGACAGACTGAGCAACGACGCAGTGGGGAGATCAGTCCTGTCAGAGGGAGCAATCCCCAGATATTCGGTTCTGCCCAGGCAGATCTCGCCTGCGACGCTTTACGCGGTGGGAGGACGACCTAGCTTCACTGGCAAAGCGTAAGCAGCGGTCGGCGTGGATATCTGCTGAGGGGATGCTGCCTGGTGGGCGTCCCTTGAACCAGATTTGTTTCGTGACGTTCGTTTGGAAGTGAATCTCAGGTATTTTCAGGAGGGGAAAAAACACACAGACACAATTAATCGGCGATTCCCAGAAAATATGGGAAAATATGGGCAGTGGGCGGGAAGACAAAAACCCAGAAAATATGTGAAAATATGGGGGATATTTTTATTTGTGTGTATTTATTTGTGTGTCCTGGGGCCCCTTCATATTTGAGCGTCGAGCACACGCTGCACTGTCTCACCGATATAATCGTCTCCATGCTCCCAGTCCTCCGAGGAGGCCAGCGCGACCAGCGCGCCCGT